GGGAACTTTCATGTATTCATTGCTGGTGGGATTGTAAACGGTACAGCTATTACTTTGGAAGATGGTTTGGTGGTCTCTTACAAACCTAAACATAGTTTTATCTTAACAATCCATGAATTGCATTCCTAGGTATTTACCCAATTAATTTGAAAACTTATGTCCAGGCAAAAACCTGCACATGAATGTTTATAGCTACCATATTCAATATATATGCAATATAGCAACTATATTGCCCCAAACTGGAAGCAACCAAGATGTCCTTCAGTAGGTGAGTGAATAAACTGTGGTACATCCAGACCATAGAATCTTATTTAGCAATAAAAAAATATGAGCTATCAAGCCACAAAGAGATATGAAGGAATCTGAAGTGCATATTGCTAAGTGCAAGAAGCCAGTCTGAAAATGCTACATCCTGCATGAGTCCAACTATGTGACATTCTGGAAAAGACAAAACTGTGGAACCCAACCACAGTAGGGAGGAGGGAGAGGTGGAGAGGTGGAGCACAGGGGACTCTCAGGACAATGACATGCTTTTGTATGATAGTGTAACAGTAGATACAGAAACACTGTGCGTTTGTCAAAACCCATAGAATGTACAATACCAAGAGCGAACCCTAAAGTAAACTATGGACTTTAGTGAATATTATAATAATGTATCAATAGAGGCTCTTACTATTGGGGGAACCTGTTTGTGTATAGGAGGACATATGGTCACTCTCTGTACTGGCTGCTCATTTTTTTCTGTAAAGCTAACCCCACTCTAAAAAAAAAAAGTTCATTAGTTAAGGAGAGGGGGGCCAGATGAGCCAGAGACAAGCAAGTGGAAAGTGAGAGGAAGGAACACTTGGTAGAGGGCACAGCAAGTACAAAGGCCTGGAGCGGGGAAGGAACATGGCGTGTCCTGGGGCCCGAAAGGAAACTGAGAGAGTAGGAAGGGAGAAGGATGGGATGGAGAGAGCTGCAAGAGCTGTCAGAGGCCCAGGAGAGGACAGAGGCCTGTAACTGCCTGAGAGTCATACAACTTGGGGACCAGATTTGATTCCCTAAATCGTTCACTCGTAATCACGTGGGGGAACTAAGGCCCACAGAAAAGCAATGAGAAAAGCACTTAAAGACTGACCGCTCATGGGATGTCATCAGCACTTCCACAAAGAAAGAAAGAGGCTGTGTGACCCTCATGATAACCCTTTGGGGTAAGGTACTATTACTGCCTGCATGTCACACTTGAGGAAGCGAGCCTGCAGAGGCAAAGCCACTTGCTCCAAGTCACACAGTGAGGGGTCAGTAACCAAGGCTGCCTCTCACCCATCATGGTGGCAGCTACAAGGAACACGTCTGAGCTCAACTTGAAGCCTCCAGCAGTACCAGAAAGCTGCAGAGGGAATCCCAGCCCCCTCCAGCAACTGTGCCTGGCACTGAAGCACCTCTGGGTCCCCACTGCCTGGCAAATAGGGCTTATCAAGGGAGTGTTTGTCGAATCCACAGTCAGATAAATCACAGTGAGGTGGCGCACCTCTGAGGCTCCTTCCAGCTGGGAGGGTCCAGGATTGTGGACCCAAAAGGAGTTCCTTGGCACCTGGGTGGTGCCCAGGCCACCCTCCCGTGGTGGCCCTGGTCTGTGTCACTCCAGCTGCTGTCAGTAGCAAAGCCCTTCTGGCCCCCAGGGAAGGGTTTCTGGGCAGGAGCTACCTGCACCCCATGCCACCTGGCTGTGGGACTGTCACTTACCCTGGAGGCCTCCAGGCCCAGAACCTGGGTTCTGGGGTCAAGACACCTCAAGCCCCTCCCAGTACCCCTTGGGCCTCAGTTTCCCTGCTCTGAAGGGCTTCCTTGAGGGACAGCCTCTCAAAGACTAAACATTTTTCTTAATGTTGTGCAAGTTTTTTTCAGGGTGATGAGCATAACAGTGGGTCAGGTTAGGTGGGCCCCCAGAAAATGATGAGTGGAGTCTCTCCATCTATCATGAATCCTGGGAACCCCAATCTCCCCATCCATCAGGGTTCCCGGGGAACCCCACTCTGTGGCTGTGGAGCCAATCGCACCACCCATCGGGGGGTTCTGGGGACCCCTCTGAGTCGTTGGGACCCATTCTCTCCATCCATCAGGGATCCCGGGAGGCCGCAGGGCCCACGTTCAGCTCAGAGTCCCGGGTCCCGGATGCCACCCCCGCTCCAGGTCCTCCCCGTCTGCGCGCAGGCGGGAGCCCACGGGGCGCCCCGGGGATCCCTGGGCGTCCCGCGGCTGTTGTGGAGCGTGTGTTGATGCCGTCGCCAGGGAGACGCGCGGAGGCGGGCCGGGAGTGGGGGCGCGGCCTGGCGGCGCTAGAGGGGCCGGCCAGCGGCACAGGGCCCTGGCCGCCACAGTGGCCAGGGCCGCCGCCGCCCGCCGGCTTATATACCGCGGCTAAATTTAGGCTGCGCCCGGAGCTCGTCCCCATCCGGGACGCGTTTCCGCTGCCGCCGCCTTGGCCCGGCCCCCGAGCGCGCCGCGTCTATAAGGCTTGGGCGGGCCCGGCCGCGGCCCGCAGAGCCGTCCCCGCCCGCCGCGCCCCACCAGCAGCTCACTGGTGTCCGAAACCGTGTCGGCCCCGGGTCCCGGCCATGGCGCTAAGCGAGCCCATCCTGCCGTCCTTCTCCACTTTCGCCAGCCCGTGTCGCGAGCGCGGCCTGCAGGAGGTGAGGGCGGCAGAGACAGCGAGGGCGGCCAGCTCAGGGTAGTAGAATGTGGGCTGCGGGGTAGTAGAAAGCAGGCGGCGGGGACGGGGGGCTTAGGGTAGTAGAACGTAGGAGGCGGGAACGACGGGCTCAGGATAGTAGAACGCAGACGGCGGGGAATGCAGGCTCCGGGTAGTAGAATGCAGGCGGCCGGAGGCGGTCCCCGGGCTTCGCCGTGCGCTCACGCCTGTGCCCCATTGCCCTGTCACCCGCAGCGCTGGCCGCGCGCAGAGCCTGAGGCAGGCGGCACCGACGACGACCTCAACAGTGTACTGGATTTCATCCTGTCCATGGGGCTGGACGGCCTCGGCGCTGAGGCCGCCCCGGAGCCACAGCCACCCCCACCGCCTGCGTTCTACTACCCCGAGCCCGGCGCACCGCCGCCTTACGGCGCCCCCGCGGGCAGCCTGGTGTCCGAGCTGCTGCGGCCCGAGCTGGACGTGCCGCCGGGGCCCGCGCTGCACGGCCGCTTCCTGCTGGCGCCGCCGAGCCGCCTAGTGAAGGCCGAGCCCCCCGAGGCGGACGGCGGCGGCTGCGGCTACGGTTGCGCGCCCGGTCTGGCCCGCGGGCCGCGGGGCCTCAAGCGCGAGGGCGCTCCGGGCCCGGCCGCTGCGTGCATGCGAGGACCCGGGGGCCGCCCCCCGCCGCCGCCCGACACGCCGCCGCTCAGCCCCGACGGTCCCGCGCGCCTGCCCGGGTCCGGCCCGCGCACCCCCTTCCCGCCGCCCTTCGGCGGCCCCACCTTCAGCGCACCTGGGCCTGGCCTGCACTACGCACCGCCAGCCCCAGCCGCCTTCGGTCTCTTCGACGACGCGGCTGCCGCCGCCGCCGCTGCAGCTCTGGGTTTGGCGCCATCCGCCGCCCGAGGTCTCCTCACGCCGCCCGCGTCCCCGTTGGAGCTGTTGGAGGCCAAACCCAAGCGTGGCCGCCGCTCCTGGCCTCGTAAGCGCACCGCCACGCACACCTGCAGCTACGCCGGCTGCGGCAAGACCTACACCAAGAGCTCACATCTCAAGGCGCACCTGCGCACTCACACAGGTGGGAGGCGAGCGCTGGTGTCGGGGTTGGGGTGGGGGGTCGTGGGAGAAGTGGCGAGCTCAGAGACACCCCCCCAAAGGGCGTGGTACAGGAGATTGGGGAGGGGGAGCGTGCGTTTAGGACTCCCCTAGGGGCGTGGCCCGGTAGGACGAGGTCTTAGAAAGTTGAAAGGAACTCTGTCGCAGAATGTTTGGGGGTGGAGGGGGGCGCACGCTTAGGACCCTCCTGGGAACGTGGCTCGGGACTTTGGGGAGGGAGTGCGCGCTTAGGAACCTTAGGGAGACTGTCTCAGAATGTTGGGGACAGTATCAAGTTTAGGACTCCTTTGGGGGCGTGGCTCCAAACGCTAGGGAGTGGACAGTGCGCGCTTTGGACCCTTGGGGACGAAATTCAGGAGATCCGCGATTGGGGGATACTTGCCTAGGATCCTTAAAGGTTCAAAACGTAGAGGGGAGTGCCTCAGGGAGCTGGTTAGGGGTAGGTTGAGCGAAACTGAGGTCCGCTCTCGCCCCCTCTCTGCAGGCGAGAAGCCCTATCACTGCAACTGGGACGGCTGCGGCTGGAAGTTTGCGCGCTCAGACGAACTCACGCGCCACTACCGCAAGCACACGGGCCACCGGCCGTTCCAGTGCCACCTGTGCGACCGTGCCTTCTCGCGCTCTGACCACCTGGCGCTGCACATGAAGCGGCATATGTAGCCTGGACGACCCTCCACCCACTCGCGCACGGCTGTGGCGGGTCCCACGAGCCGGACGCGGCCCCCCGAAACTGTGACTGATATTTATTGGGCCTAAAGAACCGGGCCGGGCACAGCGTGGCCACCGAGGGGGCTCCCCCGACGACTACGACGACAACGCCCAGGCCCCCATCAGAGACTGAAGACCCGGTGGGAGAAGACCACAATTCTCCTTGACGAATTTTGTTTTCAAAATGGTGCAATAATTAAGTGTCGTCTTCCCCCCACCGGGTCTACACTAGAGGATCGAGGCTTGATGCCTTGTGAAAAGCAAGCAGCCTTAATTTGTACTGTCTGCAAATTTTTTTATAATATTGTACATAGTGACTGTGACAGATATTGTATTAACTGTAAATAAGGAGACAGGTGGGCATTTTGGCTGCCTGATTCATTTTTATAAGATTTTTGCTGTTTTTTTTTAATTAAATGTTTTTGCATCTTTTTGAAAAATCACAGCGCTCTTCTAGCTGCTTGGAAGCTGGGGGCTTGGGGCACTTGGGGTGGGGGGAAACAGGCAGCTCTGATGGAGGGCAGCCTGTGGGAGGGTGGGTGGGAGGGGGTGAAAGTGGGTCCTGCCCTGGCCAGTGTGCGGATTGCCAGCTGCAGCACCCAGCTGCCAGGAACCTGTGGGTTTTTCTATAAATTTAAACACTGCATTTTAGGACTGAGGGAGAGCTATTTTAAGGTTGTTCCCTGAGCCATAAATTGCCTCCTTTTCCCCAGAGCTGGGGAAAGTGCTGGTCCCACTGACGTGGCCCCCTCTGGGCTGAAAAAAGCCTTACCTACTTCTGAAGCTTCTGAGGTTTTAGCCAAACTTCTGGAGTGTGCAAGCTTTTGGGGGGGGCATGGGGGGCACAAAATGTTAAGTTTCTGACATGCTTTCCTTTTTACTAGTCTTGCATTTAAGGAGGACTTTTTCTTTTCTTTTTTTTTTTTTTTTAAGGAATGAGTTTCCATCTTCTTAGGAAAAAATGAAATCCACATTGAGGATCACGCATGGCGGGTGCTCTTTTCCAGATGGGGAAACTGAGGCCCAAGGTGGTAGCTATGGAGTGATGGTGTTAGGGTGCTGACCTGGTCTGGCTGCTTCCTGAGGGTCCCCAAACCACACTAGAGGCGACTGGGGGCTTTCTGCAGCAATTCACCTGTTGCTTGCATTGGAGGGACATGAACACTCCCCTGCAGGTGCCCTCTTGTGAAGGAGTCACATCAGAGCCTTGGTGGATGGAGGTGGCCACTCCAGTAAACAACCTCATAAGCAAGGGCGACCCCTGCCTTCCACCCCAAATGTCTCAGTCAGGGGAGGAGGTTTCCCTGGCAGCGTGCCTTGCCACCCCTCATCTTCCCCCTTCTTGGGGCCCTGGGTGGGTAACCATGGCCACCAACAATTGCACAAGTGTTTTCCAGAAAGTGAAAATAGCTCATAAGCAGCGCCCATTTTAAAACACTCTCGCCCATTGCGACAGAGGCTGGGATTTCCTCTCTCCCTCCCTCCATCCTCCCCACCCCACCATGGCAGCCCTGTAAACAGCTGAGAGCGTTTGGTAATCCAAAAAAGCAGAAATGGGAGATGACAATCTGATTCATCCTTCTCAAGTAAATAGCCTGGTCCCACTTCCGCTGGCTACAAAGAGTGTGGTGTGTGTGTGTGTGTGTGTGTGTGTGTGTGTGTGTGTGTGTGTGTGTGTGGTGTGTGTGTGTGTGTGTGTGTGTGTGAGAGAGAGAGAGAGAGAGAGAGAGAGAGAATATGAGAGCCTCCTGTACCTTCTCTCTCTGCAGCTTTTGCCAAAACTTTTCCAGAGGGAGACAGTGGTCCCTCGACCTGTGGAAATGCCCCACTCTTTGCTCAGAGGTGGTTTCAGAGGCCCTGGGAGCAGAAGAGACACAAGAAATGTTCATTTTTCAGCAGGGTCTCCAGTCTTTCTCATGAGTTTAAACTTATAGGGAAAGCCATTTTTTCTGCTTACTTGAGAACTCCTCCCAGGTGCCCCCCACCCCAGGCCTCTGAGTCCAATGAGAGGCCAGTTGTAATGGGACTGAAGCTCTTGAGTTTCTGTTTCCTGAGTGCCTCCAACACAGCTGTACGTTTCAGCAAGAGACACTCGGCCAGGCAAAGGGGCTGCTCACACTCATTGATGCAGAGATAGCCCTCTTCATTTTCTCTGCCCCTTTCAGAAACCCAAGTGTCAAATTCCACCTAACATCTTCTGGATGGGTGGTTCTCAACCAGGGGCGACCTGGTCTGGAGAGATTTTGGGCTGTCACAACTGTGTGTGTCAGGGGGGTGCTGCTGGCATCTAGTGGGTGGGGGCATGGATGCTGCAAAAACATTCTAGACTGCACAGGGCGGTTCCCCACCGCAGAGGACGACCTGGCCTCAAATGTCAGCAGTACTGAGGTTGAGAAACCTGCTCTGGTACCTAAAAGATCATCATCATTCATTGCTTCTATGAGCAAGGAGGTGGCCCTGTTCCAAGAAGCAAACGTCCATAGCAAATGCCACCCAGAGAAAAGTATTGATAACACTTCACTGCTGGGCCCAGTAACCTGGACACTTTTTGTTCCCATGAACAAAGTCCTGGCGTCCATTTGAGAAAATGTTAAATATCAAACAAGAAAAAAAAATCATAAAAATTGCATTCTACAATTCAATTCCAATCAGTTTTTTGTTTTTTTTTTGAGAGAGGGATTGCTGGTCAGTGGTTAAGTTATTGTCACATGGCTGTGATTATCAATGTATCCTTTTTTCTTTTTTTTTTTTCCAGGCAAATTTATAACCATTTTTTCCATGTGTTTTTCCTCCACGATATGTTTTTATTATCATTTCAAATGACTGCACAATATTCCATTTAGGTGTGCCAGGATTTGCTTGTGCAAACAAGCACTGAGCATATGTATATACTTGGCCATGTTTCAGGTTATCCCTGGGCGTGGGGGTGGGTAAAAGAGTTGGAAGCGATGAAGGTTTGTGGAGGTGGGCTTTGGGCATCGCCAAAACGCTCTTCCAAGAGTGACTCCAGTGATGGCGGAAGGATACAGAAGCCGTTTTTCTGTCGGAGTTTCTTGTATGTCAGGGAACGTTAGCATCCTGCAGGATGGTGTGGTGTGAAGTGGCGGACGGAAAGCTGTGAGGGGGTAAGGTGAGTCCCAGTGCATGCTTGACTCAACACCCTGCCCCATCTGCAAAGCTGAGTTAGCACCCCGGCCCACCAGCACCCTGGGGAGTTGAAAAGCAACCAGCCAGAGATGGCTTGTGAAGGCACCAGCGCCAGGTGGCTCCCTCTGATGGCCTGGACCCACACTGATTTGGGGATGGATCATTCTCTGGGGCGGGGACTATTCTGTGTACTGTCCCCTGTGCAGCATCCCTGGCCCCCACCCACTCAATGCCAGCAGTACCCAACCCCCAAGTCGTGACAACCAAAAATGTCTTCAGACATGGCCAAGTGTCTCCTGGGGGCAGAATCACCCCAGTTTAAGAACCACTGTGTTAGGGGTTCTGTGGACACCTAAGAGACTTTGCATTTGTAATTATCTGACCTACTGAGGGCCTAGGATGCTGCACACATTTAAAAACACAAACTGAGCGAAAGGGAGAGAAAGAGTAACTCGCAGATACTGGGTAATCACCATCTAACCCATCAGGAATTTATTCTGGTATGCAGTGTGAACTAGGGACCTAAATCAATTTTTGTTCCCCCAAATAGCACAGCGTTTCTCACCCCTGGCACCACTGACCTCTGGGACCGATCATTCTATGGTGTGGGGGCCCATCCTGGGCACTGTAAGGTGTTAAGCAGTGTCTCTGGGCTCCACCCACTAGATGCCATTAACTCCCCCTCTCCCAGTCAGGACAACCAAAATGTCTCCAGACATCATCAAATGTCCCCTGGAGGGGGAGGGGACAAATTGCCCACAGTGATGACCAGTGCTTAGGCAAAAACCACTCTTCCCACAGAAGCCCTCAGGGTCTGCTGGGTGGGCCTGTTTCCATATCTGAGGGTAAGGATGCTGCAGCCAGAATACAATGACAGAATGGGATCAGCTGCCAGCACCGAGGTGTGGCCAGCACAGTGGGTCTCCCATGACGAGGCTGGTGTGCTTGCATTTTAAATCTCCCTGCCCCCTCACCATCTGTCTCTATGTCTAGATGTTGATAGATAGATAGATAGATAGATAGATAGATAGATAGATAGATGATAGGTACACTGATGATAGATACTCTATCAATTTCCCTCTCTTCTCTTCCTATTTTTCATCTCTCAATCTCTCTCCTTCTCTCCCCCACTTCTTTCTGCTTGTCTGTCTCTGCCTCTGTCTCTCTCTCCCCTTCTCTCCTCTCCCGTCCATCTCACTGTCTTCCCCACTTCCCCCTGCCCTTTTCTCTCTCTCTCTCTCTCTCCCTCCTTCTGTCTCTCCCAATTATTTATTCATTCATGGTCCCACTGCGGAGTCCGGGGGAAGCAGAAGTGACTCAGAAGTGACTCAGCCTCGGCCCCTTCACCGAGAGCCAGTTAACAAGCATTTGTTGAATGACTAACCCAGTGCTAACCTGAACCGAACTGTAGGATTGGAGCAGGTGCTTTCATCTGAGGCATTTTCCACACATTCTTATTTTCGACCCTCCCAACAGGCCAGGAGGTTGGGAGGGCAGCCCACCCTTGATTTCCAGAGGCGGAAAGTGGGGCTGAGAGAGGGGAAGGCTAGCCTGGGTGCTGGTGCTGGCGCTGGCGCAGGTGGTGGGGCCAGGGCTCGAACCCAGGTCGGCCGGGTCCTAATGTCACAGCTCCTACCCCCGCCCTTGAAACATCTACATGCTGAACTGCATTGAGCTGGCCCTGTTTTCCTCCACACACATGGCCTTGGGGTTCCTGGGAGCCCCAGTGAGCCCCCTCGAGTCCTCCTCTGAACACCTTGGAAAGCTCATTTTCCAGTAAAATCCCAGACAGGTAGAAACGGGGTCAGGTAACGCAGGCATTTGGGGGAGACTGGCTGGACAAATGGAGTTCTCTGAGATGCTACAATAGGAAGCAAAGGAGGCCTAGAGGGGCAGTTCCCCAAAAAAGCTAAATAGAGAGCTATCATGTGACCCAGCCATCCCCCTCCTTGGTGTAGAGCCCAAAGAATTGAAAATAGGCGCTCAAACAGATGCTTGTACACACACATCCACAACAGCAGGATTCACAATCGCCAAAAGGTGGAAACAGCCCAGATGTCCATCAACAGGTGAATAAACAAAGTGTGGTCCATCCACATAACGGAATATTACTCAGCCGTAAAGAGGAGGGAAGCACTGACACGCGCTACAATGTAGGTGAGCCTCAGAAACACGATGATGCGTGAGAGAAGCCAGACACAAAAGCCCACATGGTGTGTGATCCCATTGATATGAAACGTCCAGAACAGGCAAATCCATAGAGACAGAAAGCAGATCAGTGGTTGCCAGGGGCGGG